CAGGGGGGTTGGAGATTCATGATCCTTGAGGTCCCTTCCAACCCTGGCAATTCTGTGATTCTGTGATTCTGTAATTGGTAGATGAAGGAAAGAGAACAATCTCTGCAGAATCTAAGTCAAATGAGTTTCAGGCTTAGTTATATTCCTGCTTGACTTTTAAATGTTGGTACAGAGTGCAAACCCATTTCTATTCTACTCTGTTTTCACCCTTTTGGAGCTTCAAACTTGCGACATTTAAGATGTGGAAAATCCTTTTACCAGCTCCCACGGGAATGTGCATCTGTATATATTCATCTTAAAAGTTTTAACTGAAAGCTTAGAGGTTTTTGAAGTCAGTAATCATATGGCTAAAACAAAAAACTAAACATTAATTGTTTCCCATGGACTTAATCGCCTCATATTAAGTAATTTGCTGTCTGAGTATAAGTTTACAGAAATATTAATGCTCTTTTTCATTTGGTACATTTTCTATAACAAAAATAGATACCATTTTAGAGTACCCCTTTGTTTCTGGCTGAAGTTTGTAGAGTGCGTTCCTAAGTACGGTTGTATGTATTGTATCCCTGATGCCCACGGGAAGCAGTTCTTCATGATTGATGACTCCACGCTTAGTATTCATGACCACATGCCAGCCCATAGACTGGCAGTTCTGCAGCTCTGAAGTTGAAATCCAGTACTGAGCTGTCAGGATGGCTTCAGCCTCTGGACTCTTCTCTTACTACTGATTTTGTTTGTCCAAGTAATCTTTTCTTGTACCACCCAAATGCAGCTCTTGCAAATCCAAGTTCTTCACAGTGTTGGTGATCTCAAACACTGCATTGGCCCAGAACAAGGCTATAAAGACACTCATTAGTCCAATCAGCTCTTCTATGGCCAATCCCAAGAGAGAGGGACTATGTCACTATGCCAGAGAAGCCCTTTGGTAGCCACAGGGCATGGACAAGCTCCTTGCTGGCTGAAAATGGTTCCACCACAAGCACAGCAGTGCAGTGGCTGAACATTTACTTGCTGTAAGGTTCTTGTATGCTTAATATCCTATCATGGAAAGGAGATTTCTATATGCAAGAATTATTAGCATTAGGGTAGGAATGTATGTACTAAGTTTTCCTTGTGCACCATGTGCAAATGTGCTTAACTTACACCCCCTCTCCCCCCAGCTGTTTTTTTTACTGTCTCTAAGCAAAGTTTTATACATGTATACAGGACAGCATTACATTTCTGTATGATGTAACACTGTCTCTCATTCATATCAGTGCTGAACCCATTCCCCTGCTTCACCCTGCGTTCTTCATAATAATAGCACTCTCCACAGAAGCCCAGAAAATGTCTGTTTTAAGTGAAGTTATTGTCCCCTTAATGACCACAGGAATATCCACAGCATTTTATGTATTGGCTTGGGAAATCTGTTCTGCCCATCCTAAATAGCTCTCTGTCATAAATATATCTGCTCAGAGCGATACGCATTATATAAATAAAACTGTACAGGCAGAATGTTTGTCAATCAGCAAGGAAGGCTCTACACCCACTATCCAGAGCGCATATACTTTGTAAGCATTGGTTTCCAACAGATAAATGTAATCAAGGTTTATATGCTCACAGAAGCCAACAGGATGGGATTGTTTCACTCGAAAGATCAGAAGAAAATTGTAACTAATGTTGTGGAAAATTACTTTGGTATTGCTTTCTCAGTACAGCATCACAATTAGGTAGCAATGTGAAGCACAGGGAAAGAATAAATGAATAGTAACAAATCAACACAAACAGCTACTGTCAGGAGTACTTTGCTCAGTGAAAGTAATGTAAGCATTACTTAAAGTTTTATGACTGTGGATTTTATACTGGTTTAAGTAGTACATCAAGGTCTCACCATCGTGCTCGCTAGGACTAAAACAATCAAGAGCAATTTCCGGAACAGACAGATAAAGCTGAAGTACCAAAGTATTTTTATTAATCTTGTTTCATAAGTTGTACTATCTTAAATTAAAGATGACTGAATGTACTAACAGTGAAAAATGCCCTTTTGGACAATGCAAAACTCTCCTATGGTGCTTTTCAGTGCAAAAGAAACGTTATTGACTTTTTGGAGCTTTCCTCAGAAGATTCTAACCCCTGCAAATGCACTTTGCTGCACAGTGACTACATGGGAAATGTAAAACCAAAGGCTAATCCAATAAAGCTCTGCCATGAAAAATCTGTTGTCCTAAGTAGCTTAATGACACATGCATTTTTTCAATTCTATTGAGGCAGCAATCAGACAGGCAAATTATAGCAGTATCCACTCTCCATTAGAAAAGGACCCTTTTGAGCAGAAATGCTCTGATGAGGGGAAGGGAAGCATCTTTTTCAGCACACCAAAACGTCTCTTGTGATTGACAGATTTTCTCAGGAGGCTGGCAATGAAATATGCCTACTCTCTCTGCAATGTAATGAATGACTGTTTTTTCTATGTCCTTTATGCTTCCTAATATGTTTTTGTGATAACTGGTATCATTTTCAGAAAGAGTAGAGGTGAGTTTCTGAGTCCACCATGAGCTGAAAGCACTTAATGCACATGAAAATCAGCCAAACAGAAATAAGACTAATTGTATGGAGCACCTTTTACTCAAAGGTGCAGTCTGATTCCTGTTAACATGAATTGTAATTGAATGTGAGAATCAAGCAATTGATCACACACCTTTGGCAGTAACAGCATTGCTGGGATGTTCATTCTGTAGCTATGAAGAACCCTACTGACAGCTACTGAATACATCAAGGAGTGCAGCAAGGAGGGAAGGGAAGAGGACCTCAGTTCAAACTTGCCTTTATTTAAATGTGGTTGGGTGTCCCACTCAACAGTTACATCCCCTGTAATAATTTACAGTATATTACACTCAGCAGTTCAAGAGGAATGTGACTGAGAATAGAACTCAGGAATTACTGTTCTGCGTGGCTGCTGTCTTGTCATACAGAAGAGTGAACAGAAGAATGTTGTTTGTGCCTGGGGAGGGGAACTAAGTGACCTAGAGAAAGGAAACTTAAGAGATTGCAATGTAAGTAAAAGTGACCAGTGAGGGCAGGATGGGGGAGAAAGAGAACAGGATAAGTCTTTAGGAAAACCAGTGATACCTGTTAAGAGAACAGGTTAGCTCTTGTGCAGAAACATATTTTAAGTCCTAGGGACTGTCTGACCAGGAGTGCTACTTTGTCTTAGAAACGGAATTTGACTCACCATCAAAACAGATCCAGCTGGGGCAACTGGACCATTGCCTGCTTCTGCCAGGGGTTTCCTGCCCTGCAGGCTAATGTGAGGCTTTTGGTTATAACATTTAAAGTATAAAAGCGGAAATGATCTTTTCCTGTCGTAAATCCTTGGGGGTTTGGGTCCCTGCAGTTACTGAAGGAGATATAATCTGGTCCTATAGGATCTATCTGAATTTCATAGGTTATGGTATGATCACACTGAATATGTGGCCAGTAACAGTATGAAGGTGAGTCTGTTCTCAGCATAAAGCCATCCCACATTTCCTAAGTGGAAAGGCAGGTCCTGCACAGTGTGCACCTCAATAGTGGAGATATCTCGGTGATTTCTCTCTACTACACGTTTTGTGCAATCACCATTTGGGGCATTAACTATATAAGCTGCTCTAGTGAGCTTGTATGGCTAATTTGGGATGTGTAATTTCTGATTTTTTCTTTATTATCTTATTAACATACAGACCTCATAGCAGTATTGATTGCAAATGAATATGCTCAGTACTGTCAGTTTTAATCTGTAAATTATTTTGCATCTAAGTATACAAAAACAAATTAGAAAAGCACTGAAGTGACTGGTTAATTCTTTGCTTTCCGTGACACATTGATGATTCATTATATCTACAGTTTCAGCTGAGTGTCTGCTTTATAAATCGGTGTGCAATTGGACTAAATAATAAACATATTATAGATTGTTTAGTGACATGGAAATAAGCGCTTAATAAACCTGGGCACAGAAATTAGCACATAATGTAAGGACTTCTGTTAAAGTGTAATTTTAAACTGTTTAAAATGTAATTTTGTATTTGGATTCAGCTGCTTCAAAAATATTACTAATATTTTATCTTGAAAATATACACAGTCACCTTGACTGTGCAATGAAGTCGTCAGTTGAACTGACTTTTTATAAAGCACGTATTCAGTCAGAGGAGAATTTCAGTGCATATATGAGCAAACACAACGACTGAACCTCTGCGCATAGGAGTATTATTACGAGCTGAAGTAACTGTGCTGACATTTGTCTAGGCTCTAAACCAGCCTTCATTGCAGCCTTAGTCAAAGAAAAAGTGGCTGTAAGGAAATCAAGAAAAGTCTTGTGCATTTTCACACTTCTTACATGCCTGTTGTTTGAAAGGAAACCACTACTTCAGCATGTAGTTTTCAAGTTCTCACATGAATGTGAAGTGGTATTTTTTTTTGGTCTTTTTACTGTTTAAAGTTACTAACATGAGAATATGGCACACTTATGAATGGAAACTGAAATAGTTAATAGAAGTTATGCACATTAAAGGAATACATTTTCAAATATTTTAAGCTTCTTGCATGACTTATTTTATGCATCTCTTATCTTGCATCTCTATGAAACACTGAATACCATATTCAGGGAAGGGTGTATTCAGAGTTGAACCTTGACAGAATTTCTCAGTCCCAGATTTACAGTAGTATAACTGGCAGCAGACCTTGGTCTCCACTTTAGCAGACAATTAACTTTATCCAGCTGGACCCAGAACACCTTGGCAAAGATTCCTGCATAATCAGTCAATTGTTTCTTGGAAATGCTTTTTATGCAAACTCTTTTTTTCCTTCTTTTTGTGGTCAATTGACCTCAAAATAGCCTTTATTAAAAACAAAACAAACAAACAAACAAACAAACAAAACTTACCTGTGTTCAAGCAATCTCTGTGGAAAATGTAAACATGTTAAGGGTACAAGTCTAAAACACTGAACATGAAAGAGTGAGCGAGTCAACCAGAAACAGGAATGCTAACCTGGTGTCTGCTGATGAACTATTTCTTCTGGATCCTGCAGGTGAATGAAGACAACAAGCCCAGCTGCTCCAAACAGCAAGATGAAGGAGAACAGACATGTCAGCCTCATAATTATTGTTCTCAGATCAGTCCAGTTTGGACCCAGGAAAAGAACTGCACGCAATCTCCAGAGCGCTCTTCACTCATAGTCTCGTCCTCTCATCTGGAAGTCTGGCATAATATACCTACAAAAGGTAAAACAAAACCCTCTAAAACTTAACACACATATTGTTTAAGGTACATTAGTTGATTGAAGTTCTTTTTTAGATCAAACAACTGATTTCTTTAGTATTTTTTTCAGTAAGTTAATTGCAGTCATCCAGTCAATTTGAGCCCTATCAGTTTGTCTTTAATTATATGTCACTGTTTTTAACATGTTGAAAGTATAGTGTAGAATATCATCAGAAATGTAACTTGGGAAAAATGATCATGCCATGATGGTAATTTGCAGAGAAACCCTCTTAATAGTTTCCTTTCTTTGAGTGAATCATACGTCACCTTTTATTTTGCACTGATTAAGCAATGTGAAAATGATGAAGTGAGATAATATGGGGAAAAAAGATTACAAGAACAATAACTTGCGTGTCAAACATGAGGAGAGTGACCAACAACTGGCAGCTGCCTACTATTTCAGCCTTGAGGAAAATAGTGGGGCACTGCAGGTTGCTACACAGCCTGTTGGAAAAGCTCCATGGGCCTACTGATTTCCAAAGAGAAATGCCAGTCACAGTGCTTGGGCCACCTTTCATCTGACTGCACAAAGCACCAGCAGGCAGAGTGCAGGGAGCAAGCTGGCTGGCTGTGGGAACACTGGACACTGGAGCTGCTGCCTCTCTTCCTAGGGAACTCTGAACAGATTTCTGGGCTCAGTTCTGCAGTTCTCAGACTGGCTCTAACACTTGCAGTTATGTGCCATTTCAGGGAAACAGCAGTCAGTCCCAGATGAGCACCGTGTATGTGATTCTAAACCTCTGACTGCACACACTCCTAAGGCAAATACTTTATTTTAAGCACAAAAACAGTCCCATTGGAACCAGTACCCATTCTGGTAAGAGTTAAGAAGTGAATAGATGAAAGAATGTGAACAACAGCAACAAAAAACATTAGCAGTGCCAATTGCCGTATTAACTAGATGCTTTTGCCACGCAAGTGTGCTGGCCATACATTTTTGGTAACGTGTAGAAAGGTCCATTAAAGTGCAGGCACTGAAACTGGTTCCCAGCAAACATAACCACATTTCTTACCAGCAGATTATTTACCACAAGGACCCAGGCTGGAGAACAGCAGCAGGTTGCAGGAGTCACTTCACTTTTATTGTATTTCTAATTGGAAATGTGAGCTGGGGTAAAGGTTTCTGAAGATGGTCTTTATTTACAAAAGAGGTTTTAGGTACAGAAAGCTTGTGTTACATTAGGCTGCAGGGAGGATGGGTTGTGGAAAGGTGATGATTCAAAGTAATTATTCCAGGACAAGTCTTTAAAGATTTCTTGATGTGCCTGGAACATTTGGTGTTAGAGGCAACTTTCTTTGCTTTTCATGGTTTCCCTGGCTGGTTTTTAATTCTCTGCAGGGTATTTATTTTCTAAATTTCTAAAAAGCACCAAAAAAGAACCATTTTTGCAGTTCTAGTGAAGTCATTTTTGAAACTGACTGATAAGGTTTTTTAGTGGCAACTATGTTTGTTTATTCAGTATATAAAACAGCCAGAGGTAGGCTTGAGGCCAGGAACATTGATGGATGCCTGTATCTTATATGAATGCTAAGCATCACTAAGTTCTGTCTATATATAGGCAAATGCAGCTTTACTTTCTGTTAAAAATGATGGCAGAGGTTAACTGTATAGTTTTAATTATTTTTCCCTTAAACATTTTTCTCCTTTTTAAAAGTAAAATCAAAAGAAAATGAAACTACGTTTTTTAGCTCTAGCAAAGCTGAATCCATATGGGTCTTTGTACAACTCCATCTATACGTGTTACGTCCATGTGGATGCATGGATGGGTTTTTTTTTGCACATATTTTTATTACAAACATATATGCATTTAAAGGATCAAATACTAACTCCAAAGCTCCAGTGGAGCCAGATTAGGGAAGGATTAGCCTTTCAGAGCACCTGTGTTATAATTCCAACCACTGCTGTTATATCTAAGCAATTAGGGAACATGAACAACTCTACCTTGAGTTTACTGCAGAAGGTGTCCATACTAAAAAGTCAGAGGCTTGGATAAATGGGTATCTAGGACTACATCACCCGTGGCAAGGCTGGTACAACACCAAAATCAGAGCATCGTTTTGTAAAACCACACAGTCAGAGCTTTCTAGGAATTGTGTTTAGTTCCCTGATATAAACCCTTATCTTTTTCTAACCTACTTACGCTCTCTGCATGTCCATGGGGAGGAGAATTCTACTACCCCAGTTTTACAGGAAAGGAATGAGGTAAATTTCTTGCCCGAGATTATATGGGAAGGCTGTGACGGAGCAGGGAATTGAAATGTCTCCTAGCCCTGAGCTGGAGTCAGCACTACTGCTCCTCTCTGCTGGGAATGTGAGTTGGCAAGAAGTGCATGATCATATTTTGAAAGATGGGAGCTTAAAAATGTATATTCCCTAATAACTAAGTTTTTTTATTTGCGTAATGCTGAGTTTTAAGGTTGTTTTTTGAATGAATTATACCCTTGAGCAAATGTGGGCTTCTAAAACAATTATTATTAACTTAAAATGCTAAACCATTTTCACTTTATGATTTGTTGAAATGTTTTTGTTTGAAGTAAAGGCAATATCAAGAAAGAAGGTCCCTAGCCAGTTTTTAATTAGTGCAAGAAATGCTACAGTAGCAGTTTTTAACAGTTATAATGTTTACATTATTCCATATCCTATAAGACATCTGTGCTCAGGATCACATAGCCTTTTAGTTTAGACACCTCACGATGCAGCAGTAATGAAGGCTAGATGGAAGCATGTATTGACAGAAGAAAAGGTCACATGTAATGATACAACTCTAAAGAAACACTACTGTCATTCCCTGTTCACTCATCTTTGCAAAGAGCGAATGGAGAGCGAGTCCAAGAAGGAAAGAGAGCCTCTTGCCCCTATCAAATTTAGTACCTCTTGACAAAACACAATTTCAGAGATCTTTAAATTATGGGTCTACACTTTTCCCATCCCTATTCTTCTGTAATTATTTTGTCAATCAGTTGTTTTTAATTAACATGTCCTAGGAGAGTAAACCTGGTGAATGGGAATGACTGTTTCATAGATGCTGAGCGTGCACTTCGCGAGCAATTCCAGGCTGGTCAGAGAGTGCAAGAGCAGTTGGCATCAACTGATACATGTGAAGGAAGTGTCTTCATTTGGAAATATTGTCTATAGTTAAATCCCATTATTTAAAAGATAGATCAGATTAAAAAAAAATAAAGAAGGAAAACAAAAAAGAAAAATCTTAGCGGAGCATCAGCTAACAGTTCCTTCAGGCAGTGCCTCGTCAGGTGTATGAGGGAGAAGGATGCTCTGTGTGGGAGCTCTGGACTGGTGCACACAGAGCCCCAGAGAGTTTTGCACAGATCTGAAGTCTTCAACTTGTACTTTGCATTCGTAGTCACATACTTCAACTGTGCTCCTCACAATGGGCAAAAAGATATAATTTTTTATAATTCTTATTAGTGTTACTGGCAGTGCAGGAAGATAAGGTTGCAAGCAGTTTCCAATCAAAACTTCATTTTCAGCTGCCCTGAACTTATTAAACAGATGGGGAGCAGTTCACCAGAACATGCCATAATGAGTTGAAACACCTAACTTTTAATTTATTCTTCCTTTATATGTTTCTGCAGTGGATAAAGCTCCTTTGCATCAATACGCGCTTTTCCAAGCTCTCCCATTATAATGGTATGTTCTGCCCTTGAAAGCAGCAGAACTGTGTGTATATGCAGATAACAATTAGCACGCAGGTAGCACTTTCCAGTTCAAAGATATTCATTAATCACCATAGCACTCATCTGAATTGTGAGGTGAGAAGTATTAGCATCAGGTAGGAGAATCAGTGATGCATCATGAAAACAAACCTTTTCAGGAAAAAGGCTGCACAGTTTTAGATAAGAATCTTACAGATAAATTTATGGAAAACTGTTGAATATTTTAGCAAAATATTCAGCTATCACAGCTTTTAGTTTCAAACACAGAGTGACCAGTTCCCCCCTGCTCCCAGGCAATTCTGAAAGCTTCTTGGAAAGACACCGCAACACAGTGCGGGGAGAAAGATGCCTTGTGTTGGCTGCTTAGCTGGAGCTGTGCTATTGTGCTGAGCCTGTCTGAGCAGGAACTCGCTGCAGCTACTCCTGGAAAGGTCTGCGTCATAAACGTGAGGCCTTGGCTTTCTGGCAAAGCTATTTTTGTTTAGATGGAAGTTAAAACGAACATTTTAATTTAAATCTTCTAAGGAGAGTGACACAGAAAGCAGTACTTCAGAGACTTCCTTTTTTGCAATTGCCCTCTGGACGCCTCATGGCTAAACATCTTTACGGCAAGTAATTTGACATTATAGAATCATAGAATCACCAAGGTTGGAAAAGACCTAAAAGATCATCCAGTCCAATCATTCACCTATTACCAATTATGATAATGGTCAGCCCAAGAAAGGCAAAAAGAGACAGTTTTCTGCCAACATCTCTGTTGTTTAATTCCTCATCTGGGAAGCATTAACTAGGCTGCACTCAGGGTTGCATCTGATAACACACAGCTGTTTGCTCATTCAAGAGTTTTGTGGATGTTACAATCTCTCCCTTGTCTGCCAACAAGTCTGTGAACAATGATGTTGACAGATGATAACCTAAGAGCATGATGTGCTTCAGGTAGAAACTCAGGGGATTGTCTTTGGACCATCTCAAAGAGAATCTTTCCCTAACAGGGGCCAGTGGTTGATACTTCAAAAGAAAGCACAAAAACCTTGAGAGCAAAGCAGTAGGATAACTTGCCCCCAAGAAGAGGTCTGTCTATCCATAGTGGAGATCAACTTTTTACGTGCATAGCATGTCTTACACTGGCTGTCCATGATGTCAGGGCATGCACCATTCACAGCACTACAAATATCACAAATTTAACATTTAAAGAATGTTTAAAAAGTGTTTCAAGAGCTCAGTCACTTGGCAAGAACAAATAGAATTAGATTAAAGGTGAAAAAAACTGTGCAAAGACAAG